TGATGGGCCTAATGGCCTACTTCCACACTATAGGAGTTCTATAATACATGCACACACACATCATAATGAACTTGAGTGGTAACTAAAAGGTAGTAGAGTACCTGACTAAATAAGTACCTGACTATGTATCAGATGGTAGAAAGAAGGGTAGTGAAAGAAATTTTTAAAAATGTGAATAGCTGAGGCAGTTTTGGAATAGAACAGAAATGCTAGCAAAATAGACTAGAAGCCTCAAAAGAAAGAAAAAGCAGATGGAAAGCAAAAATAGAGACTATCAAACCCACTTAAAATGTTGCCTGAAGAGGTGAAGGAGTTTACGAAGAAAACCGCAGAGTTAGAACCCAGAGGACTTCAAACAAGATGCCATGTTTGGAGCAATTGAGATGAGGTATTGAAGGAGAATACAGTGGCTGATTTGGTCAAAAGTTTAAGAGGTCAAGATGGACAGTTGGGGAAAGTTCAACATTACAACAGTCATATAGAGGCTGTTATTTGTGACTTTAATTGGAGTATTTTAAAAAAATGGACGCTGCTAGATTCCAAGCTTGTATCCTCGGTATGTTATACATTTATTTTGGGAAGTCTTCTGAGTAAAAGAAGTTATTTCAGGTGAGAAGTTAAACCAGATTGAGTAGTGTGGTGGCAGATGGGAATTGGCGAGACCACTGATCAAGGCAAAGATCTCAGGCCATCTTGATGAAGTATGGCGATGTAAACAACTTTGATGAAAAGTAATACAATGCTGGTCTGAGGCAGTGGAAAAGCGTCTGCTGGACTACTTGGAATCAGTGAACTGGACTGTATTCAAGTACTCAGTGGAAAACCCAGACGAGTATGCTGCCACCATCATAGATTTCATTAGCAAATGCGCGGAGGACTGCATACCAAACAGAGTTAATCTGGATATTCCCCAACCGAAACTCTGGATGAACCGACTGAAAACCAGGCATGCACAGCATTCAAGTCGGATGACCCACACCAATACAGAAAATCCAGAGATGCCAAAATGGAGACCGGACCAAGTTAGAGACTCAAACCAACTGTACGAACATCTGCCACCTATGGAAAGGCACAAACAACATAACAGGATACAAAATGAAGCAAAGCAAGATTGCGGACAAAAACACATCTTTCCCTGCTGCGCTCAATGCTTTCTATGTTTGGTTCGAGCAGACTGCTGCTGGCATGGTGTCATCTGCCCCAACAGCCCCGGATGCACCTGTTCCCTGCGTCATCGCTGCAGACATCAGATCAGTCCTGCTGAGAGTCAACCCAAGGAAAATGACGGGCCTGGACGGAGTACCCGGCCGTGCACTTAGATCCTGTGCAGACCAGCTGGCAGAGTTATTCACTCTGGTGTTGTGGTGCAATAATAACAACCTCCCTCTCAATTTCGGCAAAACAAAAGAACTGATCAA